ATATCAGCGGTCTCCGTATATCAGCGGTCTCCGCATATCAGCGGTCTCTGCATATCAGCGGTCTCTGCATATCAGCGGTCTCCGTATATCAGCGGTCTCCGTATATCAGCGGTCTCCGCATATCAGCGGTCTCTGCATATCAGCGGTCTCTGCATATCAGCGGTCTCCGTATATTAGCGGTCTCGGCATATCAGCGGTCTCGGCATATCAGCGGTCTCGGCACACAGTACATATAACCCCATCCACGCTCATAGATGAATATGACTGTACTATGGGAACAGGAGCCCTTCCCCCACGCTCAGCATTCATCAATGACAATGTAACAATATCATAGATATACATAGTAGCAGAGGACACGTGTCATCAGGTGACAAATCGATCAATATATTACATGTATTGGTAAATTGACATTCTTAGTCTGGAATCTAAATCTATCTATCTATAGATCAATAAAGTGTATTAGTAAATGGGATTGATAGCCGGGAATCCATATGCATTAGTCCATCTCTATGTATCTATCATTGTACCTATATCTATCTATATTATGTGTATTTATTGATTACCCGATATTCCATATATCTATATGCATATTGATCTATACTAAGAGTATCAGTAAATTACATTCTTAGCCTGGAATCTGTATGCATCTATTTTTATATCTCCATCTATATATGTATCAATGCATATCACATGGGAGCATTATTGCATTGCCATGTATGTCTTATGATGTCTCCTTCACCTCCCTCCTCTAAGCTCACCCCTCCTGCCTACCATTTTTTTTCCCTCTCCCTATACCCTCCCTTTCCTCCATCTGTTTCTCCCTCTCCCATCTCCTTCCATTATTTGTCTCCCCCAACCTTACCTGGCCCCTCTCTGAGCCTCACCCCCCATGCAATCCAACCCCCCCCAGTGCTATGCACCCCGGTTTTCTTGCCTTGCTCTCACCTGGTTAACCACCTCCATGTCTGCAGGATGCTGGTGAATCGCGGCAGCGCGGAGGGGGGAGTGCGCTTTATCTGCAACAGCCTGCAAGGCGGCGGCTGGAGGCGAGCGGGGTGTCTAGAAGAGCTGTCAAGCGGGCGGCCAATGGGAAGCCGGGACAGGGGGCGCTGTGGTCGGCTGGCGACGTCAGCGGGCTCCATCTTAACTGAGGGCAGGGCTTGCCATAAAAATCACTAGCATCCTTTATCAGGCTTCATGCCCTCAGTCAAGATGGCGCCCGCTGCGCGTAGCCGCTGTTTCCATAGCAACTCAGTAATCCCAGCCATGGAAGGCGTGGAAGACTACACCAGCTCTCCAGCTGTACCTGCTGCAGCGGAGGGAGCACTGCGAGTCCGCCTGTCGGTAGTAGAATTTAGTGGCATTTGTTTGCTGCACAAATATTAAAGCAGGAAAAAAGGGGAGAGCATTGTCATAAGATGGGCTCCTTTTGTAAAATGGCTGCCCGTGACGTCACCGGAAGTGTACTTTGCCATCTTTGCTAGGGGCATGGGATTATTAGTGCAATGAAAAAAATTAAATAAAACATGAAAAATGTATTTATTTTATTTTTAAAAAAAAGTGGTTAATTATTATTTTTAATTGTGACACCCCTAATGCTGAAGGATTTAGGAAGAATTCATTCCCCAGGTAAACCTTGTTACACTAAACTGGGAGGGGGAATGTTTTAAAACTGGAGCAGACAGAATGTGGACCAGTTGCCCATGGCAACCAATCAGCGTCTCTGTTTCAGTTTCAAAGCTAAACTGACTAAATGGAACACAGAAGCGGATTGGTTGCCATGGGCAACCGCTCCAGATTCTGCACCCGTTTTAATAAATTCCCCTCGCTGTTTGGTTTTGGTGTGTGGGAGGGTTGGACTGAGGTCCGGAGTGAGCAGTGACATAAACAAGCCCCCGGGGGAAGGTCACTAAATGTTTAGAATGTAAACGTAAAACTCCAACCCAGGAGTGGGCAACTCCGGCCCTCCAGCTGTTGTAGAACTACAAGTCCCATGAGGCATTGCCAGCCTGACAGTTACCGGCGTGACTCCCAGAGGCAGGTGCATGTTGGGATTCGTAGTTAAAGCACGGCTGGAGGGCCGGAGTTGGCCACCCCTGCCCTAGCCGGAAAATTACTTTCCTTTAGCCCTCATTCACACGGGTATCGGCCGGCAGGTACAGCTCGGTGCTGCGTGCGGGGCCGTACCGAGCAGCTCCCGGGAGGACAGGTGCTGCGTGTGATTAGTACGCAGTCCTCATCCTTCTCTATGGGACTACGTGGCCGTACGCCCCCCTACACTCACCTCAAGTGCAGGTCCGTGCGGGTGCAGGCTTCCCGGCTTTGACGCAGACAGGATCCATCCTGTCTGGTGAGGTGTCGGGTGAGCGTACGGCCGCGTAGGCCCATAGAGTAGGACGGGGGCTGCGTACACGCAGCACCTGTCCTTCCCGGGAGCTTCTCGGTACGGCCGTGCACGCAGCACGGAGCTGTACCTGCGGCCCCATTCCAGCGTGAATGAGGGCTTAAAGTGGCAGTGAAGAGCGATATTCCTCCAAAGGCCCCTATGGGAGTCTGGCTTGCGCGCACTGCCATGAAGCGCGGAATACATGGCGGGTTTGCGCTCGTTATTTGACGCACTCCGTTCCTGGTCGTTGATTAATCTGGGACATGACTGATGGCGGAACAAAAAACACCAGATCCCTATTGATCCTCCGTAGACGGAGAGCTCTACCAGTCCCCGTAGCCTCTCCATTCCTGGCCTGTGGAGCCGACTCATTTCCCTGTGACCTTTGACCTCAGGTTCTCTAATGACCTTGCTCCTTTTTTTTTTTCTTGACCTCAGTAAAATCCGTCTAGCCCCCGTTATTCCACCAACCTAATCCCGGGGTTCATACTGGAGAAGTCCTGGAGTCCAGTATGGAAGGAAGTGATGAGGGAACCTGAGAGCAGTAGGTCCTGGCAGGAACTAATAGGACGGTTTGGGTGATGCTTTGTGGACGGGGGCAGAGTTGTGGATGGCTTTGTATGTTTTATTATTTGGCCAGTTGAGCACACAATACCACCTTCACCCTGAAGTCTCTCTCGGTGAAGTTTTGATCCGGCTTTGTGGCGTCTCGGCACCGAGCCGCGGCTGGGTTTGGCATCCCTGAATTCGGGGACTTTGGAGTAAGACATCTCTGTGGCTCCAGGCCAGTCACTTGGCACCCATGCCACCCTGTGCCCTCACACTTCCTGCCACCCACTCCAGGGGTGTTTTAGATTTCAGGTGCGAGGGAAGCCATCTTGGTCTCCATCAAGTATATGACATGATCAACAAGACTCCACGTGAGGTTCGCAGTGATGGATCACCAACGAATTCGACACCCCACACGCCTCCCTCCTCCGAATGGCCATCCACTTGCGGTTAGCTGCGATGGAGGCTCTGGGTTCAAATTGATAGCTGTGATCCCGATGTGAAGAGCAGATCCCGAGCGTGAAGGTGACCAGCTTCCAGGGTGCAAAGGGTTAAGTTCCACTATTGCAAATTCAATCTGAGATGGGTAAGGATTAGGGATGTCCAGATACCGGTACTGGTATCGGGGCAATCAGACCTTCCCCTTCAAGACTCCTCCCCCTTGTGGTGGACCAGTTTATTACATCAAAACTATCTAAAGCGTATTTACAGGAGAACTATGAGACTGTCACAGGTCGGCTCAGTAGATCGGGAAGTGAGCGAACACATACCGGCATTCGCTCACCTCTCGATCCTGTCAAGTTCTTACAGCATCCCATAACCGGTGTCACAAAGCCCTTTGTACATACAGTCGGTATAAAGAAAAGAAAGGAAAACCAGTCGCAACTTTTTTTTTTTTTTTTTAAAGAAGTGAAAATTCCTATTTACAGTTTTACAAAAATTTGAAAATATTATATAGAAGAAAACATCATCATCATCATTATCACCATCATCATCACCATCATTATCACCATCACCATCACCATCACCATCACCATCATCATCACCATCATCATCACCATCATCATCACCATCATCATCACCATCATCATCACCATCATCATCACCATCATCATCACCATCATCATCACCATCATCATCACCATCATCATCACCATCATCATCACCATCATCATCACCATCATCATCACCATCATCATCATCATCATCATCATCATCATCATCATCATCATCATCATCATCACCATCATCATCACCATCATCATCACCATCATCATCACCATCATTATCACCATCATCATCATCATCATTATCACCATCATTATCACCATCACCATCATCATCACCATCATCACCATCATCATCATCATCACCATCATTATCACCATCATCACCATCATTATCACCATCATCATCACCATCATCATCACCATCATCATCACCATCATCATCATCACCATCATCATCACCATCATCATCACCATCACCATCATCATCATCATCACCATCACCATCATCATCATCACCATCACCACCATCACCACCATCATCATTATCACCATCATCATCATCACCATCATCATCATCATCACCATCATCATCATCAATAGGTTGCAGAAATATGAACCCCCTTCCGAGGTGACCTCTTGTCACTTCCCTGAATTGTAGGAAAGCCTGCAGAGAAAAGAGAGATTGTCTATTCACAATGACATATGTTTAGGAAACCTAAGTTCGTTAACACCATAGGGCAGTGCGTTCCGGTCGGAATCCGGACCCCGGAACGCATTGCGGCAGGCTCACTTTTTTGCCGGGCTGGAGGGGGGCGTGGCGCGCCATTGAAGTGAATGGCACCGTAGCCTTGCCCTCCGGCCGCAATGCGATCGCCCCCCCGCACGGGATCGCAAGGCACATTGTGCCTGCAGTGCGTTCCGGTGCGATCAAAACAGTGCTTGCAGCTACTTCAATGGCCACGCCCCCCAAAAAAGTGTGCCGGCCGCAATGCGGGGCAGTGCGTTCCGGTCCGGATTCTGACCGGAACGCACTGCCTATGGTGTGAACGAACCCTAAAACTCCGACCTTGTATTCAACCGTAAAACAATTCAGGACAGCCAGCTGGAAAGACAGCGTGCGATTGGTTGGTACATTTGTTGTTCATTTGGGTGGAAGCCTCATAAACGGGATGTTTCCCCCGACTATTCTAGAGACCTGAGCTGCTAATAGACGTGTAAGCTGCGGAAACATTCGGCTCGCATATTTCGTTATTTCGGGATTCGGATCTGAAATTCGATCCGGTTCGGGGGTTTCGGATTCGGACGAAATCCGAATTTTCGTTAAGTTTCGGGAGAGTTTACGAATATTTGTTGGGAGTAAAACAGAAAACCAGATACAGATATTAATACTGAAGCTGAGGCTCCCAGACCCGAATGGCATTCAGGATCCGAATTTCCAAATTGCATTGGGGAGGCTCCTGAATACCATTCGGGTCTGAATGGTAATATATGCATATGGCTCCCGGACCCGAATGCAATTCCGAAATTTGGATCCAGAATGCTATTCAGGTCTGGGAGGCATGTACATACAATAATAAAGCTCAGGCTCCCAAACCCGAATGGCATTCAGGATCCGAATTTCCGAATTGCATTGGGGAACTCCGGAATGCCATTCGGGTCTGGGAGCCTCGGCTTTAGTAATACATGTAGATGGTTCCCAGACCTGAATGGCAATCGGAAGCTCCCGAATGCAGTTCGGAAATTCGGATCCCAAGTGCCATTTGGGTCTGGGAGCCATATACATATATTACTAAAGCCGAGGCTCCCAGACCCTATTTGGCATTCAGGATCCGAATTTCTGAATTGCATTGGGGAGCTCCCGATTACCATTCGGGTCTGGGAGCCTCAGCTATAGTAATATATGTATATGGCTCCCAGACCCGAATGGCATTCAGGATCCGAATTTCGGAAATGCATTCAGGTCTGGACGCCATATACATATATTACTAAAGCCGAGGCTCCCAGACCCTATTTGGCATTCAGGATCCGAATTTCTGAATTGCATTGGGGAGCTCCCGATTACCATTCGGGTCTGGGAGCCTCAGCTATAGTAATATATGTATATGGCTCCCAGACCCGAATGTCATTCCGGAGCTCCCCAATGCAATTCGGATCCTGAATGTCATTCGGGTCTGGGATCCATGTACATATATTACTAAAGCTCCCAGACCCGAATGTCATTCAGGATCCGAATTGCATTGGGGAGCTCCGGAATGACATTCGGGTCTGGGAGCCTCAACTTTATATATGGTTCCCATGTTGCCATAAGGAAAATTCGTATTCAGACCCGGTCGGATGGATTAAACCAAAAAAAAAAACCCACATCTGATTGGCCAGAAAAGTCACATGTCCCATTCAATTTAGTTTTTGAACGAAATTTGGAAAAGGGAAATTCGGATGCATTTGGATTCGGACATTTGGATGCGTTCGAATGTCCGAATTTCGGAAAATTCGTACAAATTTTGATTCGGAACGAAACGAAATCGCACATGTCTAGCTGCTAACAGTACTTGTGTGAATTAGAAAGGACTGACAGCAGCACATATCTCCAGAACCTCTACTTATATACAGGCCTGGACTGTTGTTAGGCCACACAGACCTGGGTTTAGAGTGGTAGGACTGCTAGAAATGTCTCAGTATGATGATAGACTCAGGTCTCGTACATGGCCAAACATTTGTGGACGCCTGACCATCGCACTCCCTCTCCGACCGAAAGTATGTGGATACTCCTCCACATTGTAGGGTCCAAGTGTCTCTGGCAATACTACAGCATACCAAAACATTTTGGAAGCTGGTACACCTGCAATGTTTTACTGTAATGCATTACTGTGCCCATGTGCACAAAGCCATGAAGATACGGCATTAACCCTGGCATAACTCATACTGCTGATTAGCGCATGTTAGTGTTGTGGGACAATTAGGAGTACCCTGTTCAGAATTGCTGCGCATGCTCGCAATTAGAGGTGACTACCCTGCTACCTCCTCAACTGGGTCCTTCCAGTACCTCCATTACTACCCTTATACAGTTATTAACCAATATTGCCTAAATAGGTCCTACCCATACGTAGTCCCCAGGTGGTATATGATGCCCACGGTAATCCCGCCGCACTGAGTGTAACAGGATCCGCAGACTGAACCACCTCCGCTCATTCCACCTCCGTGACATGCGCAGCTGAGATCCAACCTAACCGGGCGCTGTGACAGTTCCCTCACTGCCACATGTATTGGTCTTTCCAGCTCTATAATGAGGTGTTTCCTCTGAAGGGGAGTCCTGGACCGGCATATTTTGCCTTCAAACCTTGCAGCAATAACAAAAAAGGTCTAACCTTTCCCCACTCTATCCAAAGCTTACGGTTTGGCGTCTGCAGAGGTAGTATGAAGCTTGCGAAATAAAGATATGACCGCATGGCTAGTTCATTGGGTATAAGGGAACATGAAGGGTATTAAGGGGCATGTGCTTGGTTTCCCATTGTTATGACTGGTGTTTACCCAAAATTCTCCTTACTTCCCACTAACAATGCATGTATTGCGGGTAATTTCAGTGCTATTAGCCAAGTATACAGGGCCGGATTTACTCACTCTGCTGCCCCAGGGCCAGGTTCCTCAATGCGCCCCCCCTACCCGCCAAACCCCCATGGAGAATGGTAGACCTGCAGGCTGCATACAAGTGATCTTGGTGACATTGCCGAGATCACTTGTGCAAAGCAAGCGGTGGCTTCCCCCGCTCTACATTTAGCTCTGCTTGCCCAAAGCCGGGCTAAATGTAGAAAACAACTACCCGCCCCGGCACCCGGAACTGCATGTCCTGGGCGTCGGGAGATAGGAATTCCACACCCCTGCTGCCCCTCTACTACCTGCTGCCCCGAGGCCGGGCCTCGGTTGGCCTTGTGGGAAATCCGGCCCTGCAAGTATGTGTATATCCACAACACAAGCATCATTGGTTGGACATGATGACAGATTTATCAGTTCTAGATGAAGCAGCGAGGCAAACTAGATTCCATTGTATGGCTGGAGCTTTGCTAGTTGTCCATATCTGAGCTTTGCTAGTTGTCCATATCTGAGCTTTGCTAGTTGTCCATAGTTGAGCTTTGGCTAGTTGCCCATATTCGTCTAGCTGCTAACATTAGCGTCGCTTTGGCTATGCTCCCTCTCAGAAGGAATAGAGTCTCAGAATGAGGACACACAAGCCATCTCATCTCGCAGCTCCTCCTCGTCCCTACAGTGCACAGATTCTTCATCGCTGTAAAAGAGTCCCTGTCCCGTCGCGTCCTCTCCGCCAGGTCGCCCAGTGGTACTCCCGGCCCAGCTGCTTTTACGACTCTGGCTTAGAAGGTCGCTGGCTGCGCTCTCCATTTCATCGATCGTCATGTGGCAGGCGTCCGCAATCTCCCTTTTAGCGAATGCAACAAACTTGGGGTCCTGGGCATAGAGCCCCAGTCCTTCTGATATCAAGACCTAGGAAAAGATAAATAATATGACATGAAATCCTGAATGATTAAGAAAAATTAAAATAGATAGTTTTTAACTTCAAGTTCCAACATCACTTTCAGTTAAATCTGGTAGAGAAAGTATGGTTATGGATGTAGACCAGGGATGGCCAAACTCCGGCCCTCCAGCTGGGGTGAAACTACAAATCTCATGAAGCATTTCTCTCCGGGAGTCGTGTCTGTGGCTGTGAGAATCTTGCAAAGCCTCATGGGATTTGTAGTTCCACCACAGCTGGAGGGCCGCAGTTTGGCCATCCCTGATGTAGAGGAACCACAAATCTCTTTACTGAACCAATGCCAGCCATAGCAGAACCTTCTTAAAAGAAGAAGATATCTGCACGTGTCACATCCAATATAAACCCCAAAAATCACTTAATTTAGGATAGTGGGCGGACTACATACAATGGCGCGCCTTCAGCAGCATCTAAATGTTCACACCTCAGGCCTCTAAGCCAAGCTGAGGTTCCACAGTGGCCTGAATGAGACCTCCTGTGAGGACTTACCTGCTACCTCCCGCAGGGTCCCAAGCGAGCCGGGTGGTCTCCTCTTGCAGTCGTATGCTCCCTTCAGCCCTGATGCCTCTGCCGATCCACCCGCCTCCCTGACTGAAGCCGCTTAGGAAGAGACACGCACTGGATTTCCTCTTAAAGAGACAGTGCGCGCCTCTTCAAGCAAGTGGTCCGCCTCTGGAAGTGACATCACCTCATCGCCAACAGGTATATAAGCATGACGGGCGAGTCATTCTGTGCTTGGTTATTGCAAAGCTTGTCCTTGGAGTGCCTGGCGTTATATCCGTTTCTGATTCCTGTGTACCAACCCCTGGCTTGCTCTGTGACCCCCGATACTTTGCTGCCTGCCCCGACCTTAGCTACGTTACCGACTTCGATTCCGGATTGTGATTTGGCTACTGTATTGTTGGACTGCCCCCCGTACTGGCTACCACTAGGCAGGAGATTGTGCGTTATACTGGTCTGCTTGAGTAGAGGTACCAATCGTACTGGCAAGTCCCCCCGCTTCTGGTCTCCTACCATCACCAACCTGATACCTGTGTGACACATTTACCGAACCACAGAGTGGGAAGCAGATGTGGAACTTTACTTTAAAGAAGAAGTATGGGGTCAGGGCTTTTCCCCATAGTTCTCCTTAGGGTAACGGGGGGACACAAACTAGCGTCCTCCCGTCGCCCTAAGCTCAGTATATAGGGAGCTACAGCTCGCGGTATACTGAGACGCCGCAGCTGAAGCGGATCCCGACAATTATGCCGGGATCCGCCCAGCTGCGTGAGTGACAGCTGGCTCCGCCTATCTAGAGGCAGAGCCAGCTGTACCCGCCCCCTCCCCCGTCCGTTCCGCCAGTCAGCGCTGGAGGATCGGAGCGGGGAGAGGGGAATCCAGCCCCTCCCCTGTCATGGCAGAGAGCCGTGACAGGATCGAGAGGGGAGCGAACGCCGGTATATGTTCTCTCACCTCCCGATCTACTGAGCCGACCTGTGACAGTCTCATTGTCACAGGTCGGCTAGAACTATGAGGTGAGTGAAAAGCACGCCCCTCATAGTTCTCCTTTAAGGAAAGAAAGCAAAGCCAGCTTTGCAAAGCCACTGACTCACCACTAGCTGGAAAACGGGTAAGAGTGACCCTACTCACCGCCTCCACCAGGCTGTCCGCACTCCCCCTCTTCTCCGTTAGTCTCTGCCCAGGAACATGGAGCTGGGTGTAGGTGCAATATGGAGCCTTGCTTTCCTCCTCCCTATACCAGTGAGTGCAAGGGATGGTGGGCAAGCTGCTGTCTTCTTCCACCAGGATAAGCGGGGCATAGAGAAGGCGGCCGCGTTTTGGAGGATTGGCCCAGGAATTGGAACCGTTGGACTGGTAGCTGGATCTTTGCCAGGAATCTGAACTTCCATAAACCTGGAGAGGCAGAAAGTAGGATTACAATGAACATACAGAGAACTGTGTTTCATAACGGTACGTCCACACATTTGGGTTAACACTTAATGTGAAATGGATCTGATAGTACAATAGTAACCCATACTAACCAATTGCAGATCAGTGCTGAGCAGCTTACTGAATCAAGTCCTAAAGCGGACCCTGCACTCTAAGCAAGGTGCCCCTTATTGACTTTGCCCTTCCCCCATGCCAAAATGCTGCATAAATAACCCAAAACAACTCTAGGGGAAAAAAAAAAGTTAATAAATAAATACCTTACCCCATTGGTTTCCATACCCCAGAGGGTGTAGTCATCCTCCTTCCAATTTTTTTTATTGGCTGTGACCCAGAGAATTCAAATTTCCCCCAATAAGCCTGTGTTCTGTCGAAAGACCCAATTCATCGAAAACGCCAATGACGTTGCTTTCGGTAACTTGCCAGCAGGAGATTTGGCCGAGACGGCGTTAGGCTGCAGAACAGGAAGACTGAGGGAACTCTCTACAGCTGCATTTTCACAATACTCAGCGGTTGGCGAACTCGACGAGTCTTCTGATAGATGGGATGTTGTGCGCGCATGCGCACTGACAGCTGTTGGAGGACTCGACGAGTATTGTGAAAATGCTATGCGGGCATGTGAGCTCCTCCAGTCTTTCTGTTTACCAGAAGTGACGTAATTGGCGGTTTTGATGAATTGGCTCTTTCAACAGAACACCGGAACTGGTGTTGTCCTCAGCACACCTCCACCTCCTCCTTCCATAGGCCTAAACAGGAATGGTAGGCCCGTGCAACCAAGAATGTCCATAGCTTTACAACTAGGCTACTCATAGACATGTGCTCATCAAACTTTCCCCAATGAGCCGGAACTGGTGTTGTCTTCAGCACACGTCCACCTTCTCCTTCCATAGGCCTTAACATGAATGGTTGGCTCGTGCAACCAAGAATGTCCATAGCTTTGCGACTAGGATACTCATAGACATGTGCCCATCAAACTTTCCCCAATGAGCCGGAACTGGCGTTGTCTTCAGCACACGTCCTCCTCCTCCTTCCAAAGACCTAAACATGGATGGTAGGCGCATGCAACCAAGAATCTCCATAGCTTTACAACTAGGCTACTCATAGACATGTGCCCATCAAACTTTTCCCTGAATATCCGGAACTGGTGTTGTCTTCAGCACACGTCCTCCTCTTCCTTCCATAGGCCTTAACAGGGATGGTAGGCCCATGCAACCAAGAATGTCCATAGCTTTACAACTAGGCTACTCATATACATGCACTGCTCATCAAACCTGTAATCCTTAAACTGGCTACACGTAATGGGGATTTTGCCTAGATTTGATTACTAATTACTGTGCCGGGCCAGTTCTTTCACCCCTCCCATCACCTTGTATGTCTATATAAGGTATCCTTTAGCAAGTAAATACTATGCAAAAAAAAAAAATGCCCTGCGCCACCGCTGGCGAGCCTGGTAAGGAGCGGCACCCCTGGTTCCCTGACACAACAGCCCTTAAGGACAATAAATGCTGGAAGAAGCAAAGGATATGCTTGGGGATTGGGAGTGCTGAGTTTTGAAGGAGGGGGGCAAATAAACATTTCCCAGGGACGGGTTTTAACTTTGGTTACTCCTGGAAGTGGCGCGGGAAAGGGACACGGACTGTAGAGTAAGATGAGTGAAAAAAGAGGCTTTCTAAGCTACTTGACTTTTTACCAAGCGCTGAATGGGTGAGATGGGGGTGGGGGAGCCCAGAGATGGGCTTTGAAACATTTTAGGCAGAGAATGTCCTGTGGGGTAAAATATAAAACAGGCAGACCGGGAAGACTAATGCAGAGGGGTGGATGGAACATGCAGGACAGAGTGGAAGGAACCAAATGATAGTTACTCGGGTTCGGCAGGGGGTTGCATTTTGATGGTATGTCCCTGGAATGGGGATATCGTCACAGCTTCCTTGTCTCCTCAGGCACTGAATGCTGAAGGGAGATTTGTTTCCTGCAGAGAGAAGAGTACGATACAGGCTCCAGTTATAATGTTCATTATAAAACTTCCTCAGGAGCAGGAGGTGATTCAGTTTTACGCTGGGTTCACACCTTAGCGTATTGGAAACTCGCGTTTGCCGCGCGTTTCCCAGCTGCACGGTTTTACCACGATTTGCGGTAAAAGAAACGCGCGGCAAACGCGAGTTTCCGAGGGGGTACCCTGATGGATACAGCGGGATGCGCGCGTTAATACGCCCCAAAGAAGCTCCTGTACTTCTTTGGGCGTATGGCGTTTTACCGCGCGATCGTACGCGCGGTAAAACGCGCAGGTGAGAACCGTGCCCATAGGCAAACATGGTTTTTCACCTGTTGCGCATCGTACCGAGCGTAGGAACGCGCGGTAAAACGCTCAGGTGTGAACCGGGCCTTAAAGGAGAACTATGAGGCGAGTGATTTTCCACTCAGCCTCATAATCTGAGCCGACCTGTGACAATGAAACTCAATAGATCGGGAAGTGAGGGAACACATACCGTCGCTCGCTCACTTCTTGATCTATCCCTGCAGAGAGCCGTGACTTTTCACTCACGGCTCCCTGCAGGGATTCCCCCCCTCCCCTGTCCGATCAACCAGAGCTGACTGGCGGAACGGATAGGGGCGGGATACAGCTGGCTCTGCCTCCAGATAGGCAGAGCCAGCTGTCAATCAACCAGCTGGGTGGATCCAGACAGAATTGTCCGGATCCGCTCCGGCTGCGGCGTCTCAGTATACCGCGAGCTGTAGCTCCCTATATACTGAGCTTTGGGTGACGGGAGGATGCTAGGTTGTGTCCTCCCGTTACCCTAAGGAGAACTATGGGGGAAGAGCCCTCCTTTAAGTATGAGATGTAAAGCAGAATGTTTCTTACTGATGCTTTCGCCGCAGCTGTCACAGTACTGGGAGAACAGCCTCTCGTAGCACGGGCAGCAGTACAGCCGACGCTCTTTCATTATGTGGCTAAGGAGAACTATGGGGGAAAAGACTTAACCCCATAGTTCAACTTTAAGGACTGATTGTTGAGCTTTTGATAAAGTTAGCTACCTACCTGAACACTGCTTCATATAACTGTATGTTTGATCTCACTGTATGTTTTATTGCACCCATGGCTACAGTGTCACATAACAACTCTTTGGTGATAGGATACCCTACTCCTTCTTCCTAAAAAAAATAATAATAAATAATACAAAGTTCTCACATGGGGAGGTTTCGTTGTTCTGTCTGGTTTGCATCTCCCTGTTCCCTCCTACTTACTATTCTTTACTATTTTCCTTTCAGTAAATAAACCGCGGTTTGTCCGCCATGATGATTCCCCTATCCGCATGCAAATACACGGACACGGATTCTCCTTACCTGGCGTCGGCGGTAGCAGCCTCCTGCGCGGAGGGGCGGCCGCTCTGCCCTCCAGGGTGCCGTTAGCCTCGGGAGAAGCAGGAGGTGACTGAGCTTTAATCCGGTCCTCGGGAGACACTGGACGCTGCAAACTGTCATCCGCGTGCTGAATTCTGAGCGGGACAGAGATAATAAGGGGAGAGGGTGTTGTCATAAAATGCACCGAGAGCAACATACCGTTTAAAGGAGAACTATGAGGCGAGTGATTTCCACTCACCTCATAGTTCTAGCCGACCTGTGACAATGAGGCTGTCACAGGTCGGCTCAGTAGATCGGGAGGTGAGCGAACACATACCGGCGTTCGCTCACCTCTCGATCCTGTCACAGCTCTCTGCCGTGACAGGGGAGTGGCTGGATTCCCCCCTCCCCGCTCCGATCCGCCAGCGCTGACTGGCGGAACGGACGGGAGTCCTCCCGTTACCCTAAGGAGAACTATGGGGGAAGAGCCCTCCTTTAAGTATGAGATGTAAAGCAGAATGTTTCTTACTGATGCTTTCGCCGCAGCTGTCACAGTACTGGGAGAACAGCCTCTCGTAGCACGGGCAGCAGTACAGCCGACGCTCTTTCATTATGTGGCTAAGGAGAACTATGGGGGAAAAGACTTAACCCCATAGTTCAACTTTAAGGACTGATTGTTGAGCTTTTGATAAAGTTAGCTACCTACCTGAACACTGCTTCATATAACTGTATGTTTGATCTCACTGTATGTTTTATTGCACCCATGGCTACAGTGTCACATAACAACTCTTTGGTGATAGGATACCCTACTCCTTCTTCCTAAAAAAAATAATAATAAATAATACAAAGTTCTCACATGGGGAGGTTTCGTTGTTCTGTCTGGTTTGCATCTCCCTGTTCCCTCCTACTTACTATTCTTTACTATTTTCCTTTCAGTAAATAAACCGCGGTTTGTCCGCCATGATGATTCCCCTATCCGCATGCAAATACACGGACACGGATTCTCCTTACCTGGCGTCGGCGGTAGCAGCCTCCTGCGCGGAGGGGCGGCCGCTCTGCCCTCCAGGGTGCCGTTAGCCTCGGGAGAAGCAGGAGGTGACTGAGCTTTAATCCGGTCCTCGGGAGACACTGGACGCTGCAAACTGTCATCCGCGTGCTGAATTCTGAGCGGGACAGAGATAATAAGGGGAGAGGGTGTTGTCATAAAATGCACCGAGAGCAACATACCGTTTAAAGGAGAACTATGAGGCGAGTGATTTCCACTCACCTCATAGTTCTAGCCGACCTGTGACAATGAGGCTGTCACAGGTCGGCTCAGTAGATCGGGAGGTGAGCGAACACATACCGGCGTTCGCTCACCTCTCGATCCTGTCACAGCTCTCTGCCGTGACAGGGGAGTGGCTGGATTCCCCCCTCCCCGCTCCGATCCGCCAGCGCTGACTGGCGGAACGGACGGGGGAGGGGGCGGGTACAGCTGGCTCTGCCTCTAGATAGGCAGAGCCAGCTGTCACTCACGCAGCTGGGCGGATCCCGTCATCTACGTCGGGATCCGCTCCGGCTGCGGTGTCTCAGTATCCCGCGAGCTGTAGCCCCCTATATACTGAGCTTAGGGTGATGGGAGGACGCTTGTTTGTGTCCTCCCGTTACCCTAAGGAGAACTATGGGGAAAAGCCCCGACCTCATAGTTCTCCTTTAAAAAGAGACCCGTCCTAAGAAGAAATATGGAAGGCCGCCATGGCGGATCTCTTCTGAAAACGCTACTAAGCAGGTTGTCATGCTGATCCTCCAAATACTTGCTAGTGTTGGTGACCTGGCATGAGCGTGCAAAGCAAGAGTTCTGCCCTCACTTGCTATACACTAGACATGCGCGCCAGCAAAAAATGTTTTTATTTCGTTTAGTTTTCATTCGGATTTTTCATTGATTAGTTTTTTTGGGATTCGGGTCCGAAAGTCAATACGTTTCGGGACTTGGATTCGGACGGAAGCCGAATTTTCATTAGCGGTAGTCAGTACGAGTTTTCGTTAGGATCGAATTTGCATTGCAGCAAAGTGACAGAAAAAAATGACATTTGTTTTTTTTTTACGGTCCGCAAAAGAGAATAATAATATTAAACCCCCCCCCACAATTTATACCAGACCCTTTAGGTCTGGTAGGAATGTTAGGAGGGACCCCCAAGTTATAAATAATAAAAAAAAGTGTGTGGGGTTTCCCTCAAAAGTCATACCAGGCCCTTTAGGTGTGGTAGGAATTTTAAGGGGAAACATCACCCCCCCAAAAATGTGGGGTCCCCGCTAAAATTCCTACCAGACCTTTGATCCGAGCACAGGCCCGGCAGGGCAGGAAAGGAGGGGGACGATCGAGCCCCCCTTCCCCCCAATGCTATAACAAGACATGTGCCCTCGGCATTGGGAGGGTGCCCCCGTGCTGATGGGGACAAGGGACCCATTCACTAAAGGGTTAAAAGTAAATGTAAATAAAGAAACCAAGATAAAAACATTTCTTTATTTTTGTTAACTTTTTTAATCACTTTTTTTTACATTTTTGTTTTATTTTTTTAATTTTTAATTTATATATTTACTTTTCACTTTTTTATAATTTTTTATTTAAATTCTTTTTAAGGAGCAGAGCGGAGAACGGACGTGGGGAGGACGGGAGCCGGGAGATTCTACACCCCTGCCTCCCCTCTGCTCCCTGCCGCCCCGAGGCCGGGCCTCTGCGACCTTGTTGGAAATCGGGCCCTGGCAGGGAGCACAGGGCACAGGACAGGTTTTTTTTGCACTCATCAGACAGATATAACAATAACCCATTCAATGTTCTATGTAAAAGACTAAAAAGCAGCAAATAAGAGCATTGTGAGGGTTTCCATGCGTTTACACTGCGTTGTCTCATTCTAAACATATAGGCAAAGGCATACTTGTCCTTCTCCTTGCTGGGGCTGTATACGGGGGAGGATGTCCTGGATCTTTGTTCATCATCTGTCGCAGTCTCTTCCTCTTCATGTACAGTGGGGGGTACAAACGTTCCATCTGAGCTTCTCCTGGGAATAACAAACATGAATAGCGAGGTCGGGGTCACCCTACACTCTACGAATAGGTGACTTATAGCAGTGCTAAATGCACCTCCCCTGTGTAGGCAAGAATCCTAGCACCGGCCCTGGTCACGGGAGGACACAAACTAGCGTCACCCAAAGCTCAGTATATAGGGAGCTACAGCTCGCGGTATACTGAGATGCCGCAGCCGGGACGGATCCCGACACACTGTCTGGATCCACCCAGTTGCGTGATTGACAGCCGGCTCTGCCTATCTAGAGGCAGAGCCAGCTGTACCAGCCCCCTCCCCCGTCCGTTCCGCCAGTCAGTGCTGGAGGATCGGAGCGGGGAGGGGGGGGATCCCTGCAGGGAGCCGTGAATGACAGTCACCATTGTCTGCAGGGACAGGATCGAGAAGTGAGCGAGCAGTGGTATGTGTTCCCTCACTTCCCAATCTATTGAGCCGACCTGTGACAGTCTCATTGTCACAGGTCGGCTAGAACTAGGAGGAGGAGTGATTTTCACTCACCTCATAGTCCTCCTTTAAGTGGAAGTGCTGTCATGCAGGCTTTTATTAATGACAACGCTCTTTTCTGTAAGCAGGCATGAGCAGTTTTGTAGACAGTTTATGAGTCGCATGCGCGGCACTTACGTCATCACAACCTAGCTAGTTCAAATGGCTGAAGACTGCAAACCCTGAAAAAGATTTGGGTGAAGATGGAAGCATCAGCAATGGAGGGCAGGGGGACTGGAGGGGATCGCTTTGCTAGATAAGCATGCCATACTGTGCACATTTGGAAGGTTTGTATCGCTGTCTGGGATCCCTCTGGGGAGATTAAGTCAGAAAGAGAGAGTCTGAAAGCAAACAGCTTCTCTCCACTTTTAGAAACACCATAATGCTTTGTGTCACCAGTGTCCTGGTTGGTTCCTCTATGAAATGTTTGCCCACATAGTGCCTAGTTGGTGTGAGAGCCTGTGTGATTGTATTAAGATGCCCACATAGGAAGATGGTTGGCCTGCATGTCCTATCTGAGTGTAATTGTATTGAGGTGCCCACATAGGAAGATGGTTGGCCTGCATGTCCTATCTGAGTGTGACTGTATTAAGGTGCCCACATAGGAAGATGGTTGGCCTGCATGTCCTATCTGAGTGTGACTGTATTGAGGTGCCCACATAAGAAGATGGTCGGCCTGCATGTCCTATCTGAGTGTGACTGTATTAAGGTGCCCACATAGGAAGATGGTTGGCCTGCATGTCCTATCTGAGTGTGACTGTATTGAGGTGCCCACATAAGAAGATGGTCGGCCTGCATGTCCTATCTGAGTGTGATTGTATTAAGGTGCCCACATAGGAAGATGGTTGGCCTGCATGTCCTATCTGAGTGTGACTGTATTAAGGTGCCCACATAAGAAGATGGTTGGCCTGCATGTCCTATCTGAGTGTGATTGTATTAAGGTGCCCACATAGGAAGATGGTTGGCCTGCATGTCTTATCCGAGTGTGATTGTATTGAGGTGCCCACATAGGAATATGGTTGGCCTGCATGTCCTATCTGGGTGTGATTGTATTAAGGTGCCCACATAGGAAGATGGTTGGCCTGCATGTCCTATCTGAGTGTGACTGTATTAAGGTGCCCACATAGGAAGATGGTTGGCCTGCATGTCTTATCCGAGTGTGATTGTATTGAGGTGCCCACATAGGAATATGGTTGGCCTGCATGTCCTATCTGACTCCTATCTGGTACCTTTGCCATAAACACAAATCCTCAGCTTGAACAAGCGTTCATATTTCTTCTAACCTGTCGGCTCGATGGTCCAACTGACAGCAGCTGGCTGGCAAATATCCGCCTCACTCCATACACATGACCATACTGACCACAGACATTGGTCACTGTGGCAGAGACTTATTCGACTTGTTCCAGGTCCGCAGCAAAGCAATGCCATGAAAATATTAACCCCAAAATACCTGCGTGCGTTGAGCGGCCTTTTCTTCCCGCTGGTCACACTGGCTGGTGCCGGAGGTATCAGGAGGCTGTCTTTTGAGCCACCACCAGATCGGTTGACCAAGGATGGTCTACGAGGAGCTGGAGCCTGCTCATCACGTCCGCCGATGGAATTAGTAAGCGACAACACAGATGAAGAGAGACGTCCTTTGGTCAGGCCTGGTGCACTCTCACACAGGGTTGTTTCCTCTGCACCCTATAATACACAGTTGAGTGATATGGAGTGGGCTCTCAGGGTCAATAAATTCTGTGCTGGGCAGCAAGTTCTGGGTATATTACTCACCTGGTGTCCCATCCCTGGGAATTCAGAGATGTCATCCTCCTCGAGCTCGCTCGAGAGGGCCCTGCGGATCTCAGATCCCAGATCCTGCAGGCTCCTCAGCCCAGCCTAAGGTACAGATGGACAAGAGCAACAGGTAAGGTACAGAGAAATACATGCAAATGACTCCATCCATCCTACATACTACCATGACACCAGGATAGCCCCTGGGATAGGTTAGGATAGGCTGATGTTAGCTTTAAACAATGGAGAAAGAACTATGAACCTGCAATGTGGTGGAATTGCTGGGCAGGTTCTCAGTCCCAAGAAGACCCTTCTCCTTCCGACGGCGGAATTTACGGAAGTAATCCTGAATGAGGAAGGTGGCATAGAACTTTCCTACGGTGACTTCCTCCTCTGGAAAATCAAAGCACATCAATATCTAACATACCTTCAATAATCTAATACTTCTTCTTTGACATATTTCAATGTTAACAAAGTGTGGCGGAGCCAGCTGTCAATCACGCAGCTGGGTGGATCCAGACAGTAATGTCGGGATCCGTCCCGGCTGTGGCGGTCTCAGTATATCGCGAGCTGTAGCTCCCTATATACTGAGCTTAGGGTGACGGGAGGACGCTAGTATATGTCCTCCCGTTACCCTTAGGAGCACTATGGGGAAAAGCCCTGACCCCATAGTTCTCCTTTAACAAGTATGGATTTTCGGAGTAACATTTGGACAGTGACGGGGTCTTTTACAGCCGTACATCTCCCGTCTCTGGGTGCTCCTTGTGCTATCCAATCATCTACTGCAAGCGGTTGTTGTTTGCGTAGCTGCAAAGTGAAAATGTCCTAAATCGCATTTTCTTTGTTAATATGATCTCTGTCTGCGCAGAGTTACACAAACGGCGACTGCTCTCCACCAATCACAGGCCTAGAACTGAATGAGATCAGGAGATTAATAGATCATTGATGAGGTTGCTGGGTGACTTTTCTCTCAGTTGTGCTACTCCCGGGAGATTACTCTAATGGGATTACCCTTGCCTCGGTTCCCTGATCATCGGCCGTAACTTCGCGTGTCGGCCATTGCTACTTCCGGTGATCTCAGGAATCTCATAGATGAAAGAATTCCACAAAAAATAATAATATTACATTAAAAGATAAAATAAAAAAGCAGTTTTTGCCGCAATACTCACTTTTGATCCAGAGCAATACTTCTTTTCCACCTCAAGATGTCCTGCCTTGAATGATGGCTGACGTCATCCAACCCACTTCATCTGAGCCCTGAGTGTTATTTATCCTTCTCAAAATGTCCTCAGTCTTCTTCCAGGATGAATGATGGCTAACTTCATCCATTCCACTTCATCTGATCCCTGGCTATTATGGATCCTCCACAAGATGTCCTCAGTCTTCTGGGCTCAATGATGGCTACTGTCATCAGACCGGCTTCATCTGAGCCCTGGCTATTATGGATCCTCCACGAGATGTCCTCAGTCTTCTGGGCTGAATCATGGCTAACATCATCCAACCCACGTCATCTGATCCCTGGCTATTATGGATCCTCCACAAGATGTCCTCAGTCTTCTGGGCTCAATGATGGCTACTGTCATCAGACCGGCTTCATCTGAGCCCTGGCTATTATGGATCCTCCACGAGATGTCCTCAGTCTTCTGGGCTGAATCATGGCTAACATCATCCAACCCACGTCATCTGATCCCTGGCTATTATGGATCCTCCACAATATGTCCTCAGTCTTCTGGGCTGAATCATGGCTAACATTATCCAACCCACATCATCTGAGCCCTGGCTATTATGGATCCTCCACAATATGTCCTCAGTCTTCTGGGCTCAATGATGGCTAATGTCATCCAACCCACATCATCTGAGCCCTGGCTATTATGGATCCTCCACAAGATGTCCTCAGTCTTCCGGGCTGAATGATGGCTAACGTCATTCAACCCACTTCATCTGATCCCTGGCTATCGTTCCCGGTCGCACACAGAGGAGGTAATCCCGCGGGAGTGATGAATAAAGCGATATATTTACCATATTCCTCACTCCCGCAGGATTACCTCCTCTTTGGGCAACTGTACCCTAAGGTCACTTCCCTTCACTGGCCGACCGGTCACAGCTCTCTGATGTCCTCCCATACAATGCAGGACCCACCCACTACAGGCTCCCTGCAGATAACTACAGGGGGGGGGCATTGAAGACAAGACCAGTCACCCTGCACAAGGAGAGAGAGAGCAGCAGTGACCGGTCTTTATTACAGAAGGGGGCGGAGACAAGACCAGTCACCCTGCACAAGGACAGAGAGCAGCAGTGACCAGTCTTTATTACTGGAGGAGGGTGGAGACAAGACCAGTCACCCTGCACAAGAAAAGAGGGCAGCAGTGACCGGTCTTTATTACTGGAGGGGGGTGGAGACAAGACCAGTCACCCTGCACAAGAAAAGAGGGCAGCAGTGACCGGTCTTTATTACTGGAGGGGGGTGGAGACAAGACCAGTCACCCTGCACAAGAAAAGAGGGCAGCAGTGACCGGTCTTTATTACAGGAGGGGGCGGTGGCAAGACCAGTCACCCTGCACAAGGAGAGAGAGCAGCAGTGACCGGTCTTTATTACAGAAGGGGGCGGAGACAAGACCAGTCACCCTGCACAAGGACAGAGAGCAGCAGTGACCGGTCTGCATTACAGGAAGCTCCTCACACTGGATTACTGCACAGATCTGGAAGAATACACAGAGCTCACCAAGATTTATGGAAGAATACACATGACCCTTCTATGAAGACAATATTGGCTTATAGTGGAGGTCAGCTTTAAATTTTTCGCATGCGTTGAAACGGATCCACCACCCTGCAATGTTTCTAAGCTTAGGTGCTAGATTGCCTTTGCATTGGGTTGTGCGATTAGTTTCTGCTCCCTCCCCCCCTGAGGCCTGCAATGGTTCAGAGTAACAATCATGTCATTTTATGTTTGGCACCTTCGGGCGGCGGGATAACCTCATCCAGTATTTTCTGTTTAGTCCTCTTCCAGATCTTTTTAATAACCGCTCTCAGCTCTTCATTAGCGGCTTCCAGGTTCCCTGAAAAAGAGATGAAGCCATTTATAAACGTGGAGAGGCTTCTAAATTTAGAACTAGGCCAAACAACGGAGCAGAAGTCGCAGACTAGAACAGAAACTCTATAACTCATCTCCTGCAGGCATAGGGACCAATGTGCATACAGTGCAGGAATGTACCACATGTGTCGGGGGGGGCGGGTGGGGGGGGGGAGCTGCCTTGACATAGGCTTTCATTATTAAACATGTGCAATCCAATTCGTTCCGAATCACAATTCTGATTAATTTTCCCGAAATTCGGCCACATCCGAATTTCCGAATTCGGTCAGTCAAGAAGCCGTGTAATGACGCGCTGCCTGGCTTCCTGATTGTTCGGGAAGCCGGCTTCATGCCCCCTTTGTCATCTGATGACGAGGGAGCATGGAGCCGGCTTCACGGGCCAATCAGGAAGCAGGGTGATGTGTCATTACACGGCGCCCGGCTTCCATGATTGGCCAGCAAGCCGGCTCCATGCTTTCTCGTCACACAGTGACGAGAAGCATGGGACGGCTTCCTTGTTAATCAGGAAGCCGGGCAGCGCGTCATTACACGCCACCTGGCTTCCTGCATGGGACTACGGTACTCGGTACCAAAATACCGGTATTGGTGCATCCCTATGTAACACCGTGGTCAGCAAGTGGTTAATATGTTTTGTTATATTGGTATTTGAGCTGTTTTCGAATGTTCATTCGTTGGGATAACTGTATTCCATGTATGTTATATGGAGACAAAAGGAATCCTTGAACACCTATCTTAATGGCTTTCTATCCATCTAGGCTACAAAATGTCCTGCGAACACCAACCTTTAGCAATACACGGAACTCATCTTATACCTTCCGTTTTGATCCTCAGTGAAGTTCGCACCAGAGCAAAGAGGGTGGCATTGAATGTCACCGTACCGTCCGAGTTTAGAGGCATATTCATGGCAACCAGTCTCTGCAAGGACAGTTAAGAACGAGATAAAATGTCTCCACTACCAGCCAGAATGTTCTAAAGACAGAATATAATGCAACAGGAACAGTATGTAAATGTAAAAGGAAGACAAAAGCCAGAATGTAAAAGGATATTCTATTTCTAAAAAACCCTTTAGACTGAAGTCCAGTTCCTTATGACACCGAGGGGGTCTAGTGATACACAATTTGCAGGTCGGTGTTAAATATTCCTTCTGAGTAAATAATACCAAAACGAATGTTCTTAATATATTTTTTTCCCCGTTGGAATGTATTGTGGTGTAATGCTACATTGTGGCCACTAGATGGAGCTGAGGAGCAGAGGAAATAAGTATTTGTTTCCTCCGCTCCATCTAGTGGCCACAATGTAGCACCGCATGACAATACATTCAAACTGGAAAAAATAGAAAGAATATGGGGGGTTTTTTTTGGCATCAATCGGCATAAAAGAATGTTCACCTATTTGCGGGGCGATGGGCCCTTATGAAATAGACCCCCCAAGTGTTGGCTAAGCTGTGGGTGAGAGGATATGCATGCTCACAAGAAAGGCGCATGCTGTTAAAGACAGCCTTCAGCGTTGAGATACATGCAAGAACAGCTTCCCATCAGCAACATGACTATACTGTAACATATGAATGCATGCAAACAGCACATGCGTGTATATTAGCAAATCTGGAGCCAGTAGAAGACCTGATAAACCACATGTCACATGCGATCATGTTAGCAGAGCAGCAGCTAATTACAAAAAAAAGAGGTTAGAGGGAGTCTGACCTTTTTATTTAACAGGTTGACTCCAAATTAATTTGTATACCAGACCCAGCATCAGACATATTTTTCATTTGAAGTACACGCATGTTAAGTAATGCACACATGTAACACGCCCAGCTTTTTATTACCTCTCACATAAATCATATTACTTCATCTGCTTTTCCCATAGGGATGCCGCCATCTTTGTTCAGACCTCAGCGAGAGTCAGTATGTGGACTAAAGTGATGGCTCATATATGACACAATCATGAATATTTCCAAAGCCTGTACTCTTCATGTTTTTGGTTGTGTGTACACATGTTATCTATCACAGATCAGCCCCCTGTTGCTGCCTATCACCCCATGTACAGCGCTGCCTATGACCCCAGTGATCACCCCAAGTACAGCGCTGCCTATGACCCCAGTGATCACCCCATGTACAGCGCTGCCTATCACCCCAGTGATCACCCCATGCACAGCGCTGCCTATCACCCCAGTGATCACCCCAGTGATCACCCCAAGTACAGCGCTGCCTATCACCCCAGTGATCACCCCAAGTACAACGCTGCCTATTACCCCAGTGATCACCCCATGCACAGCGCTGCCTATCACCCCAGTGATCACCCTATGTACAGTGCTGCCTATCACCCCAGTGATCACCCCATGTACAGTGCTGCCTATCACCCCAGTGATCACCCCATGTACAGTGCTGCCTATCACCCCAGTGATCACCCCATGTACAGTGCTGCCTATCACCCCAGTGATCACCCCA